TTCCTTGAAAAGTGATAAGGACCATCAACTTCAATAATAACTCCTCCTCCTCTTCCTCCTACTTCTAGTTCTTTACTCTGTATTAGAGCATCAACAATAAAACCACATTGTGGTAATAACACTTCATTAAGGCACGTATAATTATCATCATGTAGTATTATATTGGATAATATATTATTTTGCATATTACTATATCTTAATCTAGATGTACTAGTTAATCTATTAATAGATACCTCTTTAGCTCTATTTAATACCTCCAGTGGTATTAATGGTATGATATGATTATGATCATCTTCATTATGTAGTAAGACGATACTAGCATGATATAACATCATATTCAATTCATCATTAAGGATAACAATAGTACCACTAGTATTACCATCATTATTATTATACCATTGTATATAGGAAAGCTTAGTATAATCAATGGGTATATTTAATACAGCACATATCCATATATATAATACTCCTTCTTTAGGAGACTTAAAGTATGGTATATGTATAATACTTTTCGATATACGTATAGCAATATCTTCAGGAATGGCAATGGCTAATGCATACATAATCCTTATATATTGGGATGATGTTAATTTCATATATTCCTTATGAGCATCAATAATTGATGATAACTTATGAGTTAATACTGGATGATAATACTGTGCAGTAGCTAATGCATGTATAGCTGTTATAATACACTTCATATTAATATCATTAGTAGTAGTAGTAGATAGGGGAGGATAATGATGAACATCATCATGATGATGATGATGATCTTTAATGATATGTAATATACGATCAGTAAAACGTTTTAATGATTTATCAGAGGATACACCAACTTTAGAGAATGCTACCAATGCATTAGATAATTGTTGTAATTCAAAATGGCTAACAGGAGTATGTTCAATATTAATAACACCTTTATAGAGTATATCACGATCAATCATATTACAATATCTACTACAAGCAGCTAGTAATGCTGGATATGATAACGGTAATAATGATGAAGAATTCATACTCTTCTCTCTCCTCATTGTAGTAGTAGTAGTAGGATGTAATAATATCATACGCATACATATTGCCTGTATACCTGGTGTAGCAGTAGTAGGACCTAATAAACCAGCTAATACACCATATGATGGTGATGATGATGATGTAATTAGTGCATATTTAATAGCCAAATTATCGAATATCGTATTAACATGCTGTTGTTGTTGCTGTTGCTTCGATGATGATGATAATGATGAATTATTATCATATGTATCCGACGATAACATACCTCTTATAGTATCCCAATCACGTTCCAATAGATTATTTAAATCGAATGTATATAGTAATAGACTAATAAGGTGTATATCAATATTATGATATGCTCTTATAACATCAATAACGAAAACTCTATCATTATGTAGAGTATTATTATTTATAATATCCTCTATTATTGGTTTTAATGTTAATAACACCTCATTATTCATCATCATAATCACTGATGAAGTATCTGTTATATAATCCATTGTATAGGTCACTGCTTGGAGTATAACACTAATGGTCTTCAATCTATCACTATTATCATCCATCATTAATTTATTACCATTTACGATAATATAGGAACATAATTCTGGATAATAATAATGATATGATGATATAACATAACAACCCTCCTTTTCCTCCTCCTTATCCTTCTCTTTGGATACATCAGTTGATGATGATGATGATGACAATAATCTGCTTACCAACCATAATATACGTGCAACATGTCTTGGTTCGGTATCCAACATCATATGAGGTTTCATATTCTTTAATAATGTATTGAATATATCAATATATGATAATGTTGCAACAATGTTATTATTATTATATAATACCCATAGTATATCAGATATCTCTCGAGCTGTAGGATATCTATTACTCTTTAATAATTCATTTAAATGCTTTAATATAATATTAATAGCAGCAAACCGATATTCTTCACCAGTACCACCATGAGATAATAAATCAGATAATACGGAGGTATATGGTGATGCAAAGTCTTTTGTTAATCTCTTGATACTCAATGCACAATGAGCATAATTAAAATGATAAGCCAAACGTATAATCTCTTTACTCATAGTATAACCATCTTTAGGAGTATTCAACAATCTAGTAATCTGGGTTAATGGTAATAATGGAGACGACGACGATGAAGACACTAACCTTATTCTTGATGCTATTATCATACTCAAAAAGAAGAAAAGCTGGAATGGGTATTTCCAATTCTGTATTACGACCCGAATACTGTATTACGACAGGTAGATCTCGCTCGTCCAAATATAACCTCCGAATACTGTACGTCGACGCCGACAATGTGGAGAGATGATTCTCATGCGGCGGAGCGCCCGTCGGTTTTCGACAACCTCGCTAAACTGTCGAAGACAACTACAGCTAATAATAATGACAAGCTGTCAAAACTGCCGCTCTGCAACGACATATGCGACTTTCGACAAATAGTGTCGAGATTTAGACACTAAGGCGTTGTCGAATATACTCATCCTCTCATTGTCGAAGGCGATAAACGAGCTTAATATCGACAACTAAGTGTCGAAATAACGAATAACCTCAATTTCGACAAGTTGTCGATAATACGCTCGCTTCTGGTGACACAGTTGAGTCAACTGAGTTGACTAAAACTAGTTACTTTCTCGCTTGCCTCGACGATCGATTTTGCTTTCAATTCCTTATTAGGAGTGTTGGAGTCGATATGCTGTTCCGCGGTGGTCGAAGACTAGTACATACGACCAAGGAGATACGCAGCGCAATAGTGTGTGACTTCTCTTGACGCCTTGCTTTCCCACAGCTTTTTGACAGCTTTTAACGATCCTTTCAGTGTGGATCACTGAGTTTTTCACTCGCAGTCTGCGAGTCGCAGATAGCACGCTTCGGACCCCCAGTGTGGATTTCAAGATGGGGATGAGGGTACCATAGCTGTGATGTCGATGTACTGTAGCTTGGGGTTGGCGATGCCCACTGAATGGCGATTATAGAACTTGGCAATGGTCGTATCCGGTTTGATCAGACTGAGGATGAGCAAACTGGTTACTTGTGTTGCCCGCGTCCGTACGGCGCGAGATATGATACTAAAGATTTTGTGATGTTAGTCATAGGTGAGCGCTAATTGTGAATGCGTGCTGCTTTCACGTACTACGGTTTTTGTCTACGGCTTTATACGAGTTCTGTATAAGCCTCTCCCATATGGTCTAGCGCCTCAATATGGCGTGGAGTGATACTCATTCGGAGTATGCAAAGCTAGACCGCTTATACCGAACTCGACAATCACCCAACGGGTGGTGACTGAGTGGTGGTGATTCCCCTTGCCCCCTCCTTTTTTCTTTGTTCGGCTCTCCGCACATCTCCA